CGCAGGGGTCCCCCCCCCCCCCGCTCCGGTCCTCCAGCACTGACTGGAGGAATGGACGGTAAGGGGGTGGGCACAGCTAGCTGTCACTCACGCAGCTGGGTGGATGTCAACAGCATTGTCTGGATCCGTCCCAACTGCGCCGCTCTCAGTATATAGTGAGCTGCAGCTGGCTGATATACTGAGCTTTGGGTCATGGAAAGATGCTAGTATATGCCCTCCTGTGACCCTTACGAGAACTATGGGATAAAAAGGTTACCACATAGCTCTCTTTTTAAGTGTAAAAAAAGTGACACAATTTTTTTAAAAAACACAAAAAATGTTTTCTGCCCCCCTGTACACGCACGTTCTTGCATAAAACAAAAAAATGATTGCAAGATAAATGGCATGAAACAAAATATAAAACTAGTTATGTAAGTGTACAAGTATTGTGGCAGTGCATGGCAATGCCACGGTGTAGTATGGCAACTTTGGTGCCCAGGACTCTCAGCCAGAAGGGCTGAGAGGTTCCACGATGTGAATACCTTTGGAGAGGAGGAACTGTCATGCAGACTTGTCAACCAGATAGACATCGCGAATCGTAGGGGAGTGGGAATGGTCCTTCTCAGCTTGGACGCTGAGAAGGACTTTGACAGGCTTGGTTGGCCTTTCCTGGGGTCTCTCCTGGCCTGCATCGGTGTGGTGGGCCCGTTTGCTGCAGCCATTCCATCTCTCTACTCTACCCTGCGATCTCTCCTGCATAAATGGGGCCCATATAACCTATCACTCACTGGGAAAATAGCAGCCGTTAAAATGACCTTGCTCCCGAAATTGCTTTATTATTTCAACACATTGCCGATTCCCATACCGGCCTCGGACCTTCGATCCCTGCAAGGACAGATCTCACACTTTATATGGGGGGGAGGGCGCCATAGGGTCTCCCAGCAAATACTTTGTGCCCCCAAGCACCGGGGTGGCCTGGTGCTACCCAATATCTCCCACTACTTTGCCGCGGCTCAGCTGCGGGCTGTACCTTTTTGGAGTGCCATGTCGCCTCACGTGGTGTGGGTTGAGATTGAGTCCCTGTGGCTTGCGCCGATTCACCTTAACTCCCTCCTGTGGGCGCTGCCGACACCTCTCCCATCCTCTTCCCTCCTGACGTCCATGCTATGTACCAGAAGGACCTGGTTTAAATTTAGATTTGCGTTTCATTTATCAACCCCACGGTCGCCCATGGCTTCTTTTCTCTATACCCCATCTCTTCTGGCTAGCATGGAGAAGAGATGGGCATTGCCCTGGGAGGAAAAACATCTCTTTCGATAGAGATATTATTAATCGTCGAACGGGAGTTCTACACCCCTTCTCACTTCTGAAAGAAAAACACCAACTTCCCCCCAGCACCCTCTTTGCGTACCTCCAGGTTAAACACTATG